ATCGCAATATAATATATAGTTCTACGGATGGGTTTTGGCAAATAAACCCAAATATTTCTATAGATTGGCCATTTTTTTAATATTTTTTGTGGATACAGTTAACACATCAAGCTCTCAACAATTTATCATTAATTCGACGTCCGTTTTGATAAATGAGGGTTTATTCGGAATATTTACAAAGTAGATATGTATCTGATGAGATGCGTACTCGGTATATGGTTTGTCGTCAGTTTTAATTTTATCATATAAGAATTCTGCAGAGAATTACTTACAATAAAAATTTTAATTTACTGAATGAAGTTTATGGATTTTAGCAAAAATTAAATTTTCGAGCCCTTTGTTGCAATAATTTTTCTCTGCTGGTTGATCAATGCGGTGAATCAAACATAATTCTAATCATTTTTCACATACAATTGTTGGTCACAACTCACAAGTGAAGTTTAACCAAAGAGGTAAGCTGTAGGAGCTTGACAATATGTTTGACATAATGGTAAAGTTGTTAATTTAATTGTAACAATTTATCAATAACTTCATTCTTTAAAAAATTGTAATTTCATATATTGTTTATTAAAAATAAGACAACAAAAAACATCTTTATTTGTAAGTTAATACAAATTTGACAGACATGATAGCCACAGGAACTCAATATACAATTACAAATAAAAACTTTCAATTACAATTATGCAGACAAGCTACATTGCAAATAAAAAGCCCCGATTCAAGAATCAAATATAAATTAGTTTAGTCCAAATTTTATACTAATAACGTCTTCATCTGACGAACGTTCTTTACGCACAGTAGGTTGTTTTATCGCTTCTAACAAATCCGTTGACCATTCTAATAGGAAACTCTTTACTAGAAAATACAGAAATGGAATCACACTAAATATATTTATTACTTTTGTCCTAAATTATAAATTCTTAGGGCAACTGCCGTTCAATATAAGAGACGTTCTAAACATGGATCTCGCATACAATTCAAGGCAAGAAACTATAAAACCCGTAAAATTATATTTGAAGAACGTATTTTACAACAAAACTGTTTCTCACCTCATATGCTTGGTATCCTATCCGATGGCATTAAAAATTTTGTCCATAAGTGAATTTAAATTCGTCAAATTTTCGAAAAACAACTCTTCATAATATTAATCTATATACATTCTGGCCAGTTTATCTGGCTGGAGTAATGGCGGACGGAAAAGATGCGCACTTAAGAACTGGGTACAAGTAGGGGACAGATTTTTCGCTGAGTGGCGCTTCTGTATGTATCTATTCTGTGGTTGTCTCATGAACCTGAAAAAATCAGGTGACTCAACGGGATTCGAACCCATGACCTCTGCGGTGCCGGTGCAGTGCTCTGACCAACTGAGCTATGAAGTCACACATAACTGAGTCACACATAACTGAGTCACACTTCATAGCTCAGTTAGTGTGACTTGTTATAATCTTAAAGGATAAACAAAAGGATAATTCTTTTCAGCCACTGATATGTTCTGAAGTCGATTGTAATTTTAAAAGAAATTGGTCGGCAAGAGTTGAATGTATAAAAATTCAATCGTATCCCCGCCAATTGGCATTCTAGTTTCACCCCTGTTTAAAATGTTCACATGTTTTGGGTAACTCGGGTAACTCGGCTAGTACTTCCGTTCATTTGTCTTAAATGAAGTTTGGCTATGCTAACTTCGAGTAAAGACACGAGATTTTAAAAAGCCTCACAGTTTCGCAGTAAAAATGGAATGGGTGAATATAAAATTGAAAATTATGACATGTGTATGTTTTTGTATTATAATACTGCAAGTACAAAGCTTAGTACGCATGCGTACCAACAGAGCCAATTTTCTCGCCTCGCCGAGTTACTCGGCAAATGCGTTTATATGGAAAAATTTCATCCCGCCTAGCCGGCTAACTCGCTTGCACAAACCGAGTTCTCGGCAAGGCGAGCTACTCGGATGTGTCATATAAACGATTCACCGGGAAATGCATTCATTTTATACAAGGGCCGAGTTACCCGGCTTGGCAAATAACTCGCTCAGCCGGGTAACTCGGCTCCATATAAACAGGCCCTTAGAATGAAGCGAAATGTTGCTCTTGACATAAGTAAAGTCTGTTTGAAAGGTCTGTAGCTGTAATTGTACCAAACGTCTTCCCACCATCTAAAATTTCTGCTAAAGCGGCGACAAGATGAAAAACAGAGAACACGTGTTGTCATATCTCGTGTTCTCGAAATGAGCAATATCAAAGAAAGAGCCGTAAGAATTAGCCTTCTCGCAATCAATTGAAGTGGTTGAGAGTTACTTGCTTGTGTCGTCGTCGACTTCTTTTAAGACGAATTAATACTCAAACAGTGTCCATATTCAGAAATCACCTTCTTTTCTATTTTCTTAAATTTTGCACCATCGCCATTTTTGTTTGGACGTTTTGAAAAACAAAGAATGGTAACCTGCTGGAAACGGCTTACAGCTTTCAAAGCGACACAATTATATTCGAAATCTGAAACCATGTGCCGCACAAAAAAATGAAAGTCGATTAAAATATGAATTACATTCGATGCACAAAAATGCGACTTTTAAAACGGTCTTGACATCCCACATTCATGCATCTTTTTTAAATATATATGATACTACACGATTTATACTAAAATATAGTGTTATGTTTGACTGCTGTGCCGTCAACCTGAACTAATTTTTCGTACAGTCATTTCAAATTGATTTGAAAATATGCTAATGTACAAAAGTGAGAATGATATTGAAGTATATTTATAACAGCGTTATTCAAAGACTCTTGGACAGGTCTTTCATCACACACAATCAGAGCAAATTTCCTACTGGAATGTTTGACTCCTAATTCAGGGTGAGTCTGATCTATGATCACTTATAACTGGCATTTATTTGATATCAAAAGTTACTTTAAAACTATCGAATACTTCCCTGAAATTGCTGGTTTTCATGTACACTATGTCATTTTCGTTATGACAGAAAGCTGCTTGAATTTTTGTGTTTTCGAGAAGCTCAAATGAAGTCACTCTACACTTAAAAGAGCTGCATGATTGTTATGTTGACCTTGACAAAATGTTGTCATTGTAAACCTGTCGGTTAATTATGTAAAACCAATAATATCCAAGAAAGCATCATCCTGTCTTAACACCATTCATTGCAACTGGGCAAACTGTTGCATTGTGAAATTCCGTTTATAAATTTAAAATATAGGTTTTTGCTCGAGCAAAATGGACTATAGCGCATCTCTGCATGTGCTTGTAGAAATGTAAGGAGTTTATGTTTTGTTATTTAGGCAGTATTGCAGTTTTGTATTTTTTTCACTCAATGGTTTTCATCTCATTTCGCGTGCCATTCGTTCTTTTAAAAAAGCCACACGTTTGCACCAGAAATGCTATCGTTTTTTTGTGAGCAACCTAGTAAAATATTTTAATTTCTCTGTAGCTAAGACATACTGTTTACTTGGGTGGTGAAATCTATTAAAGGTAGAAGCTGCAATATTAAAATTGAAGCAAGAATTGGATGGCCAGTTTACAATTTAGTTATAATGGTTATTAGTTCATTGGCTTTTTTTTATTGTAGCTAAATCATTTAAATTTAATTTATTATCCAAACCTTTTTGAAGCAACGTGGTTGGTCTTGTCCTTTTTTGTTGTTGCTCGTTTGTGTTCAGTAAGTCTTATGTTTAAGTTCCTGCCAGTCTCCCCGATATAGTGGGAGGCGTTGCAATCGAAACAGTTTATTTTGTAAACTGCTCCGACTGAACCTTGTCGTTCAATTGGTTGTTTTTTTGTCCTTGACGTTCGTTAGTACTTGTCGTAACGTTGTAGTTAGTTTATGTGCAACACGTGTGTTGTATGGTCGCAAGATACGTGAGATATAGTCGCAGCGTACCTTTGATAAAAGGTATCGTTGCTGTTGTCGTTGAGTTGTTCGTTTCGTTCGGTTCTTTGTTTTGTAGCTTAGTGCTGACTACAGACAACGTCATACGTTAGAAAGTTAATAGACCAACTTAGAGCATAGCCTGCTGAGCAGATCACAACAATTTACGACCCCAAAGGAAGGAACAACTAACTGCACTTCTTTAGAGTAATCCAAGAGACACAACTGACTCGTACACAATACGATAACGTATAAACCAGACAACAAGTACGGCGAAACTGACTTTGACTCCTCATTTTAATCTGAAGATGACTACCGTTCAGGTCGTCGAAACGTCATTCAACATCAACATCAACTGTCCTTATCGGGACTTTACTAACATGGACGATCTACATCTACCGACATGTAACTATGCTCCTAGGTTCAAACCATTCACTTTATTGTATAAAGTGTTAGTGTCATAAAGAATGTGATCGTGCTTATAAGCTTAAATAAGCTTATACACCATGGAATAGCGTTATAGCATACATATGTAGCTAGATTCGTATAACCCAAACGCAATTTTGCCTCTTTGTGAGTTATCAATCAAGTGAAGCATACTCCATTCCTGTGTAGTGGCAAAATTTAATTGAAATCGGTTGATCAAATGCTGCAGTCCACAACCATTAGACTCTTAGTTGACAAGAACTACATCAAACAGTAACTGATAAATTTTCCTCCCTCTCTAGTGAAAATGCATTCCTGCTCGTGTGATCCAGTTAGATTTCATACTTGGACATTGCTGCTTTTGATACAAGGTATATCTGGTCAAAAAATTTCTGTGTCTGCAATTTCAATTTTTGACTGTTTTTTTTTTCATTACAATTGTTCGCAAATCATTGACTATGAGCATGCTATATTGCAAGTTTAAGTATTTTACGAATGGATGCAGAAATCAACAGTTCCTAGTCGAACCATATTGTACTCTGTTCTTAGCAATGTCTTTGTTGGATTTAAACTAGATAATTCTCTCTGATAGTTATAAACATTTAGGAATAATTTTTAATATTTTTATTTATCAGCATTCTTGTGTTTTTCCAAAGATTAAATGAAATCAAAGTTGAAATGATTGTCCCATGTTTCAGTTATGTCTTCTGGTCACAAATTCGTATCGTCCTCTTATTGGCTTGTTAGTCACGGTGGAACTAACCATGACAACTGCGGAAACTGGACGACACCATGTCAAACTTTACGATATGCCGTACGTTTATCAAATGATAACGATGAAATCTATGTTGATTATGCTGGTGGAAGACCGTATATGGAATGTGAAAAAAGGGCGTACGACTCCACCTCTATAAATTTAAACAAAAGTCTTTCGATTTTTGGAAGAAATGGACGTGCATTAATAGTTTGTAATAAAAAAGGATGGCCATTATTTCGCGTTCAGAATGGACAGTTGAACATCAGCAAAATTGGCTTGCACAATTTGATACTGAAATCGACAGGTACTGCTGTTGACTGCAACGAAGCGACAACATTTGCATTGACAATTGAAAATTTAACAATCTCAGATGATCTTCGAGGTGTTAGCAGTAAGAAATCGCTGAACTGTTTCATAAACGTGCGTAACTCTCTATTTGAGGGTGCAAAGCAAGGAGGAATTGACTTAACTTGCTCAAATCTCACTGTAAACATAAAAAATAACATTTTTAGATCAAGTCCGGTCATCCTGAAAACGGTCTACAGGAAAACTTATGAAAATAAAACTTCCAATTTCGTGCTTTTTGTGGAAAACACGGTGTTTGACGGAGAACGTATTCTTTTACATAGCAGTCTTTTGGAGATAAAACCTTATGCCAATATTTTCAATGCAACAGTATGGAGCACCACTTTTATTGACCATTACGCAAGAACACCGAATAAACAAAAATATGTGCCATTGCTAATCAGAGACCAAAATGTGAGAAATCGTATCCTAACAGCAGTATCCATAAAAAAAATCAACGCAGAGAACAACTTAAATCAACATGCAGCAGTTCGTTGTACTGTTTTATCAATTATCGGAAATTCATTTAAAGTTCAAATAGTTAACAACACTTTTAGAAACAATTCTGCTGCTTTACATATTTATCTTCTCCACTCGAACAAACATTTAAATGGTAAATTCAATAACGGGCGACAATGGAAGCCAGTTATTTTAAAAAACAATTTATTCATTGACAACGGACAAAGCAACCCTAGTGGCATATCTTCGATAGTGTTAGAAAAAGGTCACTACTTGATGATTTCATGTCGCTTCTGTGACAACAGAATGGGAAAAGACCCGTCTAAAGCGATCATACAAGTTATGGATGTGAGGAGAGTGATTTTTAGAAATTGTCGTTTTAAAAATTGGCAACGCGATACGGGTGCTACACAATTTTACTTGCAAGATTCTTCTCCTGTCTATTTCAAGGGGAAAAACGTATTTATTTTCAATGCTCTTAACATGGGGCAAACAGTACTTATGCGAAGTTCCCAAAAAGGAAATTGTCGGCTCTTTGTCAAAGGCAATTTCACTGTCGTATGTCCACATGGATACACAATATCTTTTGAAAAGCATTGCCCTTTTAGATATTCCTACTTTCAATGTAGGTATTTGTACTTACGATGCAATGAATGTCCCCTAAAGACTTACGCTTTAGAAAGATCAAAATTCACTATCACAAAAAGAAATGACGTCAAATGCATGCAATGTCCACGTGGCGGAATTTGCAATGGTGGTGTCCTGAGTTCACGACCAAATTTTTGGGGCTACAAGTCTCGATCATCCATCACATTCGCACAATGTCCACCGGGTTATTGCTGTAACCTTGCTCACTGTGTTACTTATAATAATTGCCAAGGCAACAGAACTGGCACGCTTTGTGGAAGATGTTTAAGAGGCATGTCGGATAGTTTGTTTAGTACCTCATGCACTTTGAATAGTGATTGTTCTGTAAATGCTTTCATTCCCAGTGCGATGGCATTATTGATCCTTTATTTAATTTTCTTCCTTTTCCACCATGACGTTGAGTGTTTTTTCATAGAAGGTTTTCGTGTTTACAAAGGGATTTTTCGGCGACAGGGTTTGCAAGTTGCAAAAGAAAGGAATAGTGGCTTACTAAAAATATTTTTTTATTATTACCAAGTGTTTCGCCTTCTGCAGAGTGTAGTAGGTGGCGGAAAGCGCAATATATTCCTTAGTCAGCTAGGGGATGACGTATTGCGTCTCGTACATTTGATCCCCGTCGATTTCTCTTCGTTCACTTGCCCTCTTCCCAGTCTTCTACCCATTCAAAAGGCAATAATAGTTCATTCCATTGGCTATTGTTTACTAGTGCTTCTTGGGCTGATATTTTTGTTCACTAAAATTATTTTGATGTTTCTAAAACACTGTAAGAATGAGGAAAATGAATTGCTATTACTAGCAAGTAATTTTTCTTCCTCACCATCCTCCTCAACATTCAAGTCGAGGATTTTCTCAGCATATACATATGTTGCACTTTTGATGTACGCATCTTCAACAAAATTGTGCTTTTCACTGCTTCACTGCGTACGAATTGGTGACGACAACGTCTTGTTTTTGGATGGAAATATAAAATGTTATCAACCGTTTCAATATGTTTTCATAGGTTACGTTGCATCTTCTGTATTCCCATTTTGTCTCGTGCCTGTTTTAGGAGCGTATCTCTTGAGAACAGGTCGAATCTCGGCCTCGCATTTCTGTTTTTCGTGTTTAATACCGCTGCCCTTCTGTTGTTTCTGGTTGTACTTGCTAATGAAAGATTACATCATCTTTAAACGTGACTTCAATGAATCTCGAAGCCCTTCATCTTTTCGTGTTCTTCACATTGATCACCTTGTTACACGACGCAGACCTGGAAACAGCGAGAAGGGTAAAGCTCAAGTTTCTAATGAAAGCCAGATTTACAATGATGAAGTCGGCTTCTCGAACAGTGGTAGTAATGCTCAAAACCAGTTAGGAGATCAATCTTACTCCGAGGAAAGAAATGAGTTGTTGAATAACAATAGTGAAATGAGCAGTGATGAAGAAAGAGATATACGCGAATATGGTAATTCTGAAAGTCTTCAAGGGAACAAAGGATATCATCAAGATGACGATAAAGCAAGTGTTCTTAGAGTGCTTCTCACTCCATTTCGCACCCATGAGGCTTTTCTTTGTTTTCCCCAATCCAAGATACCATGGGAAGGGTTTTTGGTGTTTCGAAGACTTATTATTATTCTTGTGTTAACGTTTGTTCAAGATAATCGAGTAAAGATGATCCTTGCCTTAACAATATGTGCCGCCATATTGGCTTTTCATACGTATGTGAAACCTTTCGTGAACCCTCGTGACAACGTCATTGAATCCATTTCTCTCTTTTGTCATGTGATTTTGTGTGGATTGACATTAATCAAATGTATCTACTACGGCGAAGATCTATCACCCTCTTCCAACAGCCAAAATATATTTCCATCCTTTGATATGATTCAAAATGTTCTGCTCATCACTCCAATTGCAATATTGATGTTGGTTTTGATTTTGTCAATTTTTGGAAGACTGCTGATAGTGATTCAAAAGTGCTTTCGCGTTATTCAATTAAGTTTTGAATTGTTTAATGACTGTTATCGGGGACGTACTTGATCGTGACTCTTTATAACTGCTATTGACATTTTGCACATCTTGAAGTTTGCTAATTTTTTCATTGATTTCTTAGCAATTAATTTCTTATTCGCATATTATAATTCTTTGGTTTGATGATGTAGGAATTTTTGGTTTTTATTTGTCAAATTTAGTCATTATATCTATATGATTTACGAATCTGGTATAATTTTGTGAGTTATATTGTCGCACATCGCAAGATGCAAACAGAAAGTTTTGTTTTACATTTTCATTTTTCATTGAACAAGATGCCACAAACCAGTGGAAATTTTTTATTTTTTTGTTGTTTCTTAATATCCCTTGAACTTTTATTTTCTATTGTTTTCGAAAAAAGAAGCAAATACACAAACATGCTGCCATCATTAGAGCTGGGGAAGAGTGTCCGAAAATATCCTTCCCCATTGAAATTTCAAAAACTGCAATTTCGTGAATGCATTTGTAGAGCAATTTAATGCAGTTTTTATTGCTTATGTCAGTTAACTAATAATTCTAATTTGTTTGTTTTCGTAACCTACAGTCTTACAAACAACCAGATGAATTCCTAAAAATTTTTCAAGTTGTTCCTACAGTTGAAAGTTCTTTATTTTGGCAATATTTTTGGAAAATTTCCTTCCCAGTTGGTTTCTACTAATGATAAATATAACTTACTTTTAGTCCCTTTTTTAAAACACGAAGTTGTTTAAATCGAGATGCATTCTTTTGTATTACAAATATTAAATAAAAGAGATGCTTAGGATGATCTGTATGTGCATTTCCTGTCTTGTATCTTAAAATTGTTGTACCTGTCTGATTCTTGTTTAACACTTCAATGGGGGAATTTTTTCAAAAGTTGGTTCTAATTTCGTTTGGGTGATTGTTGCAGATCTGCATACATTGAATAGCAAATTTTTTTAAACGGTTATAAAATATAAGGTTTGAACAAAGCAAACGCTGAAATGAAATATTTCTTCTAAGATTACAAAATTTCTTTATCGTAACCAAAGTATAAGCACGTAAATAACAATCGTTAAACAGATGACTTTATCCAGGCTTCGTGTAACCGGCTCCTGCTATACTGCCACATTGCCAAATGGTTGAGCAATTGCAGCGAGATTTGGCAAGAGTAAATACTAGAGGAGTATGGCAACGCTACACTGTATTAAAATCTTACGAAGTGTTGAAAATTTCGGTTGCTAACATGAGCCCGCGACCTGCAAAATTAATAACATGGCGGTAAAAGTTAAAATCATAGAAAACAATGTGAATTTGCAGATTGATTGTATAACTGGTAAGTTTCAGCGAACTATTTTCTTTTCACGTTTCATGTCAAATATATTTGTGACAAGATTTATTGACAAAATCGGTGAGGATCGTTAGGGATTTTCTGAAACAAGTCAGTTTGATTTTCAGATGATCGTTGATTTCTAGCGGCTTTTGACAATTGTTTCAAATAAATCACATGAAGTGTTTTTATAGTAAGTGGATGACTGCACCTGGAACTTTACTGTTGGTGTAACTAATTCTTCATTTCCATTGTACGTGTAACTAACAATAAGTAAATAGTACCAAAATCTTTTTTGAGTCTGTTAGTGCATTAGTGAATTTTAAATATGCTTTCTCTAGAGTACTTATGTAAGAATTGATCACCAATAAGCAAGAGAACCTGGGATATGGCTTTTTCAACTGCTCGTAATTTGGATTATCTAGAATTGTCAAAGGTATAAATACTTCATGTACTTCAATAAATTAAATACTGTGTATATTTTATGTTTGTAAAATATCAAGGCAGAGTAACCTCCGTTTTTCATTGGAACTTCTGCAACAAATGCAGTCAAAAACGTTGTATGCATTTGCCATTCGCCTTGGAGGATGATAAGTGTGCAATAATTATGTCGATCTTTTTATCACATTCTGCTCCCTAAAAGATCAATGCAGCGAACATATTTTCCTACAAATGATAAATGCTCAAAAATCCAATTTAAAGAATCGTTGAATTTCTTTCTCGTGATCATCTGCAGCTTTATAGCGAAGGTTAAGAATTTAACAGGTCTCTATTGTTGTTGATTTTCAATCAAGGTGTGAATGTCGTGGTGCTGGTTTTGTTAGCATCAATTGACCACTTGGTGGTATTTTTGCACGCTGTCGTTATTGATGTTTGGTTTTTATTATTAGTGTTGATTTTTTCACAAATCGTTTACATGTTTGTTTGTCACTTTTTTGGTGTTCTTGGGCTAAATGGAGTTGTGTAGTTAGCAAGAAGTGTTTGGTCATGCTGTATTGTGAACTCGCATTCCAAAACGACCATATTTTCTCCAGAGTTGAAGGCGAAACTTCCTTAGGAGTTGTGTAAAAATTTATTTGTTAATCTCAAAAAATTCTTTTATACGTTAATGAAATCAACGTGTCAACAAGTACAACAAGAAAAGATTTGAGATTGATTCTTTCCTGCCATCAGTCTACGTCACTACGGACTACCATGAGAAGCACGCGCCCCCTTCGATAGCCATTTTGTACGCAACCTTTCATAGCGGTAACATCTAAATTTGCTATATTGTTAATTTTACTGGAATTTTGTTGATAAGACGGTTTGTTTCAACAGTTGGTAAGTACAGTGGTGATTAGAACGCTTCATTCATATTAATATTATATTAATATTATATATAAAATTAGAGTTTCCACCTAATACGGATGTGTTTGCATCCCGGCTGAATACCCAATATCCAACATACATTTCGTATCGACCCGACCCAGGTGCTGCGGCAGTTGACGTATTTTCAGTAGACTTATTAAATATAAAGTTATACGCTTTACCTCTTTTAAGTTTAATCAGTCCCTTTTTAAAGAAAATCAGAGAGTAGAGGGCAACGAGATTCTGTGTTATTCCCGATTGGCCCACACAGTCTTGGTATCCGAAAGCCATGAGTATGTGACTTTGCAATCCTGTCCAACTACAACCGGAACTCAGACTTCTATCACTGGCGGATCAACAGCAGGAGATTTACCCGCTGCAAAAAAGCTTAAAGCTTCTGGTCTGTCTGTTGTCGAGAACAAGTTGATAGGAATGGGACTCCACCAAGACACAGTCGACATGATATTAGCCTCCTGGCGGGGCAGTACAAGTAAGCAATGCTCCACTTATATACAGCGATGGGCAGTTTTTTGCGCTGACAATCAGATTGTCCCAGAACAGGCAGGAGTAAACGAAGGATTGGCTTTCTTGACACATTTATACCAGAATAAACTGGGGTATAGTGCAATAAACACTGCACGCTCAGCTCTCTTGTCCATTCTCAATTTACATGACCATCACACTTTTTGGAGAACACCCATTGGTGACACGGTTTCTCAAAGGCATTTTTGAATTAAAACCCTCTTTACCGCGATATTCATATGTTTGGGACATCGGTATACTACTTAGGTATTTTTAATCAACAGAACAATTACAAGCCTTGAAAGGCATAAGTCTTGAAAGGCTTACCAAAAACCTAACGACATTACTTGCCCCACCATAACAGCACAAAGATGCCAAACCCTCGCAAAGTTAGACACCAATCATATTCAGGTCATGCCTGGAAAGGTCGTCTTTCACATCAGTGACAAAATTAAAACTACCTAACCAGGAAAACACATCGACTCCGTAGAAATCATCTCTCACCCAGATAGTGCACTATGTCCAGTTGCTCACATTCAAGCATACTTATCACGAGCCGAAACATTAAGGAAACATCATCAACTACTACTTAGCTACCACAAACCAGATAAACCTGTCAGTAATGCAACAATTGGTAGCTGGGTCAAATCTGTGTTAGCAGATGCAGATGTCGATATCGGAGTTTTTAGCGCTCATAACAGCCGATTGTCATCTGCCTCTCATGGGCTCTGTGCTGGTATGCCCCTTAAAGATGTATTGAAAGCTGGTGGCTTGTCAACGGTGACCACGTTTGCTCGAAATAATAATAAACCTATCGATTCAAACTTTGGCCAAGCTCTGTTGATTCATTTTAACAATAACTAATTATACTTAGTTAAACTTTTGCTCTGGACCTTAATGTAGAATAATATTGTTATTTCTTAATGACACTGCATTCGTTAATCGTAAATATATCTGTGTTATTTAACTCAAGAATTGTGGTTTTGTCTGTAGATCTTATTAAGATGCGCTCACATCTTTAAAATCTCTTGTTAGTCCGTAGTGACGTAGACTGATCAAAGGAAAGAATTTATAGCTTAAACGAGACTTACCTTAAGTCGAAGTTTGATTGGAATTCTTTCTTGTCATCAGTCAGGAAAGAATTTTTGATGCAAAGACGCTGTTGAGAATGATCGCGATAGACAAAGTAGGCAACTTAAAAATGAGTGATCTTGATTATGAGAAGGACCATGACGACTTACATGAAAATGTGCCATTTTCATTGCACATTTCAAAGTACAGCTTCCTGAGGGGAAAACTAACCGTTTGCAAAACTAATGTCTTACGATTAAAACTTTAATAAACTAAACTAAACAATTAAAACTGGAATATTTTGATGACATGAGTTTATACGTTTTGATATATGTTTTTCACCCTCTGGAAGGATCCACGAAAATATTTTGATTAGACAAAAGGATGTCTGATTATTTAAAATTTGGAAAATATTTTTTAAAAGAATGTGAACTCAAACAGCTAACTTTATTAACTCTATTAGATTTGCTTGATATACTGTTATAGATTTTTGATGCTTTTCATGATCGTTCGAAATATACTCTCACAAATCTTTTTTGACCGAATAAACAAGATGTCTTGGCCTTTGATATGTATATTTTACTGAAGTATGATTGACATGTTTTTCTTTTCTATTGCGCATTTATAATTATTAGTCTTATCTTTCTTACACTCCCCAGGGTTGACATAATAAAATGTTGTCAACAAACAAAACAAAAAAACAAAACTATTTTTACCTAAGAATGTACAGTTGTTTAGAACTTGTTTGTATTCTGCAATCTTCGCAATTGTCCTGTTATTCCCGGGCTGCGCTGTGGTCGATCAGTTGAACGAAGCACTTGTTCTTCTTCGCCGTTCTTATCGCTCTCTACTCTTTCGTTACTGTCTTCTTCCTGATGAACCTCAATTGGAATAAGCTGCCTGATAGAACGTCGCGACAAGTGTGAATGACTAGATTCTCCACGAAGGACTCTGACTTGTGCAGCTCGTGTAATTCCATCGTCACCTTGTAACAATTGTTCAACTTTCGCCACCTTCCAAAAGATACGTTTTGTTTGATCGTTGCGAATAATGACGATATCTCCAACTGCTATTTCGGGATTTTGATTACCTCTTGATTTTGAAGTGTATTGATCTCGTAAGGCTAAAAGATACTCTTCTCCATTGAAGAGTAAAACGTTGCAGCAAATTCTTGTGATGCTTCGCCTTTCTCGTCAAAGATTGATAGGTGCTCTGAATTTCAAAGTGCTCACTGTTTGGCATGGTCGTTATTCGTCTTCCATACACCAAGTGCGACGGGCTTAGTGGAAGAGATACAGCTTCTTCATCGTCGTACACGTAAGTTAGGGGTCGTGCATTTTATACGCCCTTGATTTCAACCACAATAGTATGCAACTCGTCGTTGGTTAAATTGGTTCTACAAACTACCTTTCGCAACGGACGATTCACGCTTCGAATCAAACGTTCCCAGAAGCCTCCACACCAAGGGATCTTTTCGATGATAAATTGCCATGTAATCTGATGGTTTGCAAGATAGCGTAACACTTCCTCGGAACGACATAACTTGCGAATTTCTAAGCATGCAGCTAGGAAAGTCTTAGCATTATCGGATATAAAAAGAGCTGGCAGTGCTCGTCGACTAGCGTATCTGCGGAACGCGCGGAGAAAGGCTAGAACGCTTAAGGAAGGAGTGAGCTCCAAATGAATGGCTCTAGTAGACGCACACGTAAACAATAGAATATACACTTTTGTTGGATTATCCGACAAATTATTCCTTTCGCAACTCTCTCGTACGAACAACGGTTCGGCAATGTCCAAACCTACGTTTGTGAAAGGGGGATCATCTGACACTATGCTAACAGGAAGACCTGAAGGAGGCGTTCCCCCATAAGGAAGACCTTCGGCTTTACGACAAACGACACATTTCCTGACGATTTTTTTACTGCTTCTCGACTACGGATTATCCAAAAATGCTCTCTAATGGTTGTTAGTGTATCACGAATCCCGCTGTTCTTCACATTGCGGTGAACCTCGTATATTAATAACTCCACAAATCTTGATTCCCTTGGAAGCAATACAGGATTTTTGCTCTCCAGATTCAGCGATGAATTCTTTAGTCTCCCATGGCACCGCAGCACGTGATCACCGTCGAGAAATAGCCCAAATTGCTTAACATAAATAGGTATTGAAGAATTCGCATTCTTTGACAGAAGGAATAATATTTCTTTTTCAAAGGATAGTTGTTGAATAGACCTTATCCATAGCAGCTGCGCCTTCCTTATTTCGTCTGAGCTTAGTTCTTCTGAGGTTGCGAGTTTGTTTGTTGTTCGCTCGCACCGTGGCATCTTCTTTAATATGTTGATGATTCTCATTACATAAGCAGTTATTCGAAGAAGTTTCTTCATGGAGCTATAACGAGTAATGTCGATTGCTTTGTTAAGATCGATTTCATTCGAAACTAGTGATCTCACGACATTCGGATGCTCTTTCACAATTTCACTCAGAACTTCGTCACTTTGTGAGAGGTTGCCAACTGGACGTTTTGGCCACTCTTCTTCGCCCCTTGCCAAGAATTTGGGTCCATTGAACCATGAGGAAGAATTCGAAAGTAGTTACCCAGAAATACCTCGTGAGGGTAAATCTGCAGGATTAAGTGATCCAGGACAAAAGTTCCAAGATTCCGTCAACGAAATACTTCGAGTCTTGTTCACTCGATGCTGCACGAATCGTTTCCATGCTCGATCGTTTCGTATCCAGTGAAGTGCTGTCATCGAGTCAACCCAAAAAATAACTTCCAGACTCCACTTGAGTGCCTTTAACAAAGACTCTACTAACTTTGCTAGTACAGTCGCTGCCACCAGCTCTAATTGGGGAATCGTTTGCTTTTTCACTGGTGCGACCTTTGTCTTTGAAGCGATTAATTTCACATCGATGGTATCATTCTCATAGACTGTTCTTACATAGACAACAGCACCAATTGCACTTTCGGATGCATCACTGAATCCATAAACCTGTGCAGTAAAGTATTTAGGTTGGAGTAGATAATAGCACCTCGGTACACGAACATCATTTAGAAACCTTAACTCTGACAATAAAATGTTCCACTGTTCACGTAGATTGCCATGCAGTTCACAGTCCCACCCCAGTCTATCCAAGCACATGATTTGAAACAGAATCTTGAGCCTTATCGTAAAAGGAGACAAGAATCCAAGGGGATCAAAGATTTTAGATGACCATTTCAACAACGATCGCCTTGTGACAAGTAAAGAATTGGCGTACTCGATTATTTCAGTCAAATTGAACAAAAGTGTGTCCTCCACCGTATCCCACACCATTCCTAGTACCTTGACTTAAGTGGGTTCCGTGAGAAGGGACTCTTTTGCAATTGTCAACTTTGTAAAGGACTGATCATCTTGAGTAACACTTGACTTGTCACTAATCAAGCTCAAATTCTTGCTACCTTCTAACGCTTTGATAGACTTTACTACGTTACTGGAATTCGAGTTCCATTTTCGCAAGTTGAATCCACCCTTGGCCATCAACTGCTTTGTTCCCTTGTATATTTGCAAAGCGGCTTCATCGGTTTCAGCACCAGACACAAAATCATCGACATACAGAGAATTTTTCAAGTGTTTAACTGTTTCTGGCTCCTGTTTCTCTTGTGTCTTCAAATGATGGTTGATAGTAGCTCCTAGAATTGCTGGCGAAGGTCGTAGACCAAAAACCAATCGACAAAACCTTAGCTTTAATACTTCTGAATGAGGATCCCTAGCATCCCTTAGACACAAAAAACGAAGCATGTCTCTATCTTCCTTGTCAATTCCAATTATTTAGAATGCTTTCTCAATGTCAACAACGAGCCCAATCTTGTTCTGTCGAATTTGACGAGCAAATCAAAGATTTGTGGAATGAGGTTCGGCCCGGTCAGTAAGCAATCGTTTAGTGAAAAGTTACGAACGTTCGTCGTAGCAGATCCATCATATACAACGCGTAGCTTCGTAGTAACCTTATCCTTTCGTATGACACAATGATGGGGAAGATAGTGAATTTTACCACGATCCTTATCAGATGCCGGAACCCTTTCGACTATTCCTGCTGCCAGTTGTTCAGAAATGCCATTATTATATTCTTCAAGATTTTTTGGATCCTTTAGCAGTTTTCGATGCAATGATCTCAATCTATTATGACAGAGTTCGTAATCGTCATTAATTAGCACATGATCATTTTTCCACGGCAGACCAACTTCGTAGCGTGTTCCAGTGAATCGAATATTTCGCACAAAATCTTGTTCCTCGCGTGAGTTCTCTGAGTCAAAGAAGTCAATGCCAACGTTTTCAGTTTCCCAAAAACGCTTCAATGACAGTGTTAACTCATCCCTATCGGTTACGACAGTAGAATTATCAAGGCAATCGGCTGCTAAAATGAGGCTATTCAGAGTATGTCCGTCTGATTTTTGTGATAACCATCCAGACAAAAGCCATCCCAATTTGCTGCTCATCGCTGTTGGACCATTTTCTCCTCGTACGACATCACCTGTGACTACGTCCCAATAATGATCAGCTCCTATCAAGATGTCGATTGAATCACAGCTACCATTGTCATCAGAAGAATCAAAGTCTGGAAGTTCTAAACCATGGAGATGTGGATATTCGTCTATATTTATCCTTGTAGGAAGTGGTGCACATATTGTTGGAAATGCGATTGCTTTAATCTCTACTGCCTCACCTCCACTCTTGTTTACAATGCTCACCTTGAACATTTGCAGCTTTCTCGTTTACTCTTGCTTTGGCCAAAGGTATTTAATTGAAGTGTCTCATTACCAATTGAATTTAACCTTAACCGGCCTTCAAGTGACCTTCGAATGTAAGACCTTTGGCTTCCAGTGTCAAAGAGAATTTGTGCTGGAACCGATTTTGATCCATTTGATACGAGAGCTCTGGCCGTCTGCAAAAGAACACTTCCCTTGACAGTTCGTGTGACAGCTGTTGTGGTTGGAGAGGTTAACCCTTTGATACTTTCTGTGGATTGGTGTTATCAATTGCCTTCTCATTTTGGACACCCTGACTGTTGGTAGCCGGATTGCTGCAAATAGATTGGTGATGCCTCCCGAAACAATGTCGACATTTTCTTGTGACGATACACTTGCTTGCTTGGTGTCCCTTTTTCAGACAAATAAAGCAACGGTTGGAGTCCCTTAGAATTTTAACTCGGGCTTCCCTTCCCTTTACCTCTTCACAAGATGCTGAATAATGTGATCCTTGACAGTATACGCATTTAACCTTGAAGCTACAGGCACCGTCTTTATCATTTTTTGTCACTACAAATGTTCCAGCTGTCGATGGCTTGTTGGGCTTATCTTTGTTCTGGGGTTTCTCAATTGAACGCGATGACTCGCTCATTTCACGTGCCTCAACTTCAAACTTTATGGTTTTGAGTAACTCGTCAATTTGCCAAACATCACCAGTAGCTTTTTGTGCAACCTGCAATCTAATTTCACTCGGTAGTTTGGACATAGTAATTGGTTTTAGCAGACTGCCATACTGGTTTGCAGATAACCCAAGCGAATCAAGTCCTCGCACTTGAACACTTATTTCATCGAAAACATATCTCAATTGCCCAGTACGATTTTCTGAACATGCAGATATTTGTAATATTTGATCCATATGTGCGGCAATGACCTGTTGGGTTCGACCAAATCTATCTTGCAGAATCGCAATTGCTGCGTCATAATTTGCGGATGTTAAGGTAAGTCCCTTTATCGAACGTGCTGCACTACCCTCAAGTAATGAGAATAGGTAATTGAATTTGTTTACCTTAGACATACTCTCGCTACTGTGAATCGTAGCATTGTATAAGTCCCAAAAGGCGTTCCATTCTGTGATCTTTCCACTGAATTTTAGCAATTGAAGTTTGGGAAGCTCTGGCATCATTATCGCTTGTGTTGTTCTCATAGGGGCATTCAAAGTCGTAGAATTCGTATTAATCACTTCATTCGTAATCGTATCAATAGCATTCGTGTTCGTATTAACCGCAATCGTGTTCGTATTAACCGCATTCGTGTTCGTATTACCTGCATTCGTGTTCGTATTAACTGCATTCGTGTTCGTGTTATTCTCATCGTTGCTTATCGTTGTGTTACTCGTGCTTGCTGTTTCTACCACAAAAGGAATCTGTTCGACTTGTGGTGTAGGACTTTGCCTTCTTTTTATAGTTTCTTGACAAATCTCCGGTTTTCTTGCTGCTTCGATTTTACGTCTAGTGCTTAGAATTCTATCCGAGACGGCGGCTGCTCCTTCAATTTCGTGTTCAATATCCGTTACATCGCCTATCCCAATGATTTCGTCGTTCATTCTGTCTAAGATCTTCATCTTACTCTCGAGTTGTTCAGCGAGACATTACATCGTTCGATGTCTACTTCAGTGGCATCCAGAAGCTCGAGTGCTTCTTTTCCACGCCACGATAACCGCCTCGTTTGGCGCGAAGTCGTTCAATATTATCCTTCGACATTTCTTTGGTTTTCGAATGAAGCTGTTCTAGAAAACCGTCGTATACCTACTTACCGGCCCCACGTTGGGCGCCATTTCATGATCGTTCGAAATATACTCTCACAAATCTTTTTTGACCGAATAAACAAGATGTCTTGGCCTTCGATATGTATATTTTACTGAAGTATGATTGACATGTTTTACTTTTCTATTGTGCATTTATAATTATTAGTCTGATCTTTCTTACAGATGCTTTCTACATGATCTACTCTGATGCTTTGTACAGTTTGTTCCCAATTTCTCAACAAAGTAGTATGCTGATAGTATAGCCTTGTTGCCGTTGTTTGTTGTATCTGACATCTGTAGATTTTATTGATGAGCATAAATAATAACGACGATACTGAATTTTGATAATCATCAGTGATGATTATGAATGATGATGATAATGATTAGTTATAATACTGGATGTTAACAATCATTGATTAAAATTGTGGCTTATTATTGTGAAAATGATTCACATACTCACGTAATCATAATGATAAGCAACTGATAACCACAGTCCGTTAGGGTTATCGTTTGAGATTACTGTTGCAAAACAACAATACAACGCGTGTACTGATTGATCTATTGCTGAGTGTGCATTAGGCTGTGAAAACCGATATGAGCTCAACAATTAAATCAGTTGAAGAAAATTTGCAATAATTCGTCAATACATGTTAATTTAGAAATCAAATTATTTGTGCCACATTTATTTGGGTTGCATTCTTGTCGCATTATGAAAGAAATAAGAGATGTTTTCATGCTTGAACTGGCTTATGCAAACATCGGAGACCTTTGAGAAAACTCTGCTCTAGTTTAAACTCTGCTAGACCAGCAGGTTTGCTCACGAACTCAGGCTCAAACTTATCTGTTCACAAACTCACCCAAAGGTCTTCTTGGTTTTCATAAGACTGTGCAAACACAGCAAACATCTTTCATTTCTTAAATAATTTATAATCGCTGTAAACTGTACATACATAACGCATTTTTAAAGTAATCGGAGTCTTTCCTTCTGCCCGTAGCTGTTTTATACAACTAGACAATAATTTACAATTTCTTATCGAGCAAGAAATTAGATATTTTGTTTCAATGGTTTTTTCACGAGTTCAATGTATTTATTTAGTGTATATCTAATAATTACGTAAGTATTTTCGACTGCTGGACATCGTTGAACTTTAAACATCTTCAACTGTACATCGCTTAGAACAAAAATGTTTTTCTTGGTAGAGATGAGCAAATTTGTGGTAGTTAACTCGTGGCAACATCTTTCCCTTAGGGTGGACAGATCATGTATGTAATCCTGTTGATGTTTTCATTGAGGTTGTTGAGGTTGATTAAAGGTATCTCGACTAGATTCGTGGAATTTCCTGAAATTTGTATCAATGAGTATTTGTCGTTGTCTGTGCCAACGGCCACGACAGTTACTCGCACGCCAATCTACAAAAACAACAATTTTAAGGATAAACGCTTTTTATATGCAGCTAAGCACTGATGAAAACGGGAGAAGATATGCTAGTTAAGCACTATTTATATATGCTACTTTAGCAATATATATACCCTATGTAATTATATACTATTTAGACACTAATGAGAAATAGAAGTAGAATTTTCTGTTGCAAATGCTTTTGTTCTTTCTCCTGCTTTTTTTGAAGTTCTGTGCTCACTCTCAATCCTGGCGTTATTGAAGGGCTGTAGAATCGGGGGAATGCTCAGCAGCCGAGCCTCTTTTTCAAGGTCCGGAAGTCAATAGTTTACTAATTGCAGTTTTCAAACCTTTAATCTGTCGCCGAGCCTGGTCACGTATAACGCAGTACACATGGCTGTATGTGTCAATTCCATGTACAAAGAGGTATGAATCATGGTCTATCATTCATATCAATTATCAGTCTCTCAGTTAAATAGAAACATCTATTACGTCATACGATGACGTCACACGTTTTTTAACGTATCGCGGCTTACCCCTCCACAAAATGCACCCCTCTCGTAAATTTATTTACTCAGCACAGCTTATAATTTATATTTACCATGTGGCTTTGATAATTTTGCGAGTAAAAATTACTTTATAATTGTCATCATACCTCTCGCAATCGATTCACTGGTTCCACCAAAGTCTGTTTTCCACCGAACGTCCTTCCGTCCGAGAAAAAGACGACAACCTTCTCAACGTCCGAGTCGTTTCTTGCTCCTCCATCGAACAACGTTCTTGCTTCGTTCATAGCCTTTTGCGTCAGCGTCGACATGCCTAAATAACGCATCGCCGATATGCGATTACGTAAATTTGGCGAATTGCTGATCATCTCTGTTAACCGTGCAGATATGCTGACGTTGTAGTTGTAATTTAGTAATCCAAAGTATGTAGGCTTTCGACTCGTGAATCGCCTCGTTAGCTGTCTGACCAACGTCTTTATTCTATTGTATCGATCTTGTGGCACACTGCTCGAAGCATCCAGTATGATTACGAGGTCTTTGGCTCGTTTACATTCTGAAATATAGGTTGGTATATGTGGTTAGTTAATATTGCCAGTTGGCCTGCTTTAAACTTCTTTTACTGTTTTGTTACAGAATCAAACGTTTCTTTGAACTTCAGGAGCATTTGATACTATATAGAAGTGTGCAAAAAGGGGGCCATTTTCACATGCAAGAATAGGGGCTTTAGCCTTGTACCTAAGTTTGCATGAAAAAAATGACTGGTTACTTTTAATGATCTCGGTACGGTACTTTATAGCTATATTGCGTATGATAACGTAATATGATTCATAAACCTACCGTAGTTTTTTGGAATAGTTGTTGTTGGACTTCTTACTGTCGAAGTTCTGGAACACGGTGGTATCGTAAGATCGGTGCGTACATAAACGTAATTGTTATTTGGGTTTTCTCCCGCGCATAAAAGCGAACTGGTATCTGAGCATGCTCTGTTTTGTTGGTTTACGCAGCCTCGTGATTGGCCATACTGATTGTAAACACATTCGGCTCTAGGCCCGCTGCGACATTCTCCAAAAGATTGAATGCCGATGATCGAATGTCCTGCCGTGTTTGCTGAGACAACGCAGTCGCATACAAACCTATAATGAATAAAAAGTAATGACATTTTTAATTGAAATAACATTCACAGCATGATACAGCCCATTTGAAGTAATTTTTGTAACAAGTTTGTTTTCTATCTGCAACCCCCCGCTGTCACCATCATACATCGAACAAGAAACTTCACTATAGGTCACTTTGGCCCTGTTTACACCACACCGGCAGTGAAATAGCTCATCGTCAGGAACACGAATAATGAAGATCGCGAAACGATCTTCTCACATGAAAGCTGGGAAAGTTGCAAACTTGCTCCTTCGTTTTGTGGAAAATCAACGCGTGCGCAAAGACATTTCAAATGTCCAGAATTGTATACTATGATCCCGTTTTGTATGACATGAAACTTAATTAGATAATTTTGTCCTACGGCACTAACGGGAACAAGTAAAGCTCTTTACATTTTCGTGCGTTTATAAAGAGAGGTATGTTGCGTACATGAAGCATACACAAGAATATTTATGTCGTCTTGCAATATCATTTGCTAATTTTTGATATGTTGTGCAGACGAAATTTGAAATATGAAACGAGTGTAATTACCGGGAAACCTTTCAATTTAGGATTATTCATTTATTCATGATTTGTTCAAAAAATGAACAAATTGAACCTCTTTAGTTGGAAACAGTATGAGTTAAAAAGTAAATAAATTACATGCGCATTAGGCTTAAGCTTTGCTTTCTACACCACCAGAAGGAACAATTTTCGAAGCATTTTTCAAAACAAGTTTTCCAAATTGGGCTACATTTTGTTTGAAAAATTTTTTCATGCATTTTAAATGCTTTTGGTAACCTAGCCATGCAAACAAAACGTTGTTAATAATCGACATGATTCTGTCTATTTTTGCTGCAAATAAATTAAATTTATCTTACCTGCTGAGAAACTGCGCGTAGTTGGACCTGTCAACAGAATAGCCTACATAAACAGAGCTGCGTGGATCGCGTGCGGTCAGCAGCAGGTTGGGCAAAGCCCTCGCTCCTGAAGTAATTCTTTCTGCCCAGCAGCCCAATTTCCTCAGTCTGTATACTACCCCACGGCAAGTTACTACTCCAATACCAGGTGGTACGGTCGGTGTTGTGGGGACCATCGATGTCCTCACGGAGGACGTGGACGTCGGTCGAATCGATGAAGTTGGCTCAGAGGGGACTGTGGTAGGGCATGTGAGAGTAATGCCCGTGGGTATGTAAACGTACAAGTTGGTTACAAGTCCGGAACATAGTGTTGAGCTACTATCCACACATGCCTCACGATTTTGATCACGGCATAAGGTTGATCGTCCGAAGATGTTGTAATCACATGCAGCTCTCGGTCCACTCCAACACTCACCGAGAAACTGTATACCAAAGACTGAGTAACCTTTTTGCCGTACTCTGGTCAAGCAATCACATGTAAACCTAAGAAAAAATAAATGTTTCAACTTCAAAGCTGGTTTTAGAAGAATCTTGTTGATGTTTTTATACAAAGAATATATCACACACTTTAACTTTGTATACCCGACATTAAAATCTTTTATTGTTAAAGTCAACACAATTTTTTTTCCTGTTGAAAACGCTGTATGAAATAGTCTCCGAAGAATCTAACCTTCTTAAGAAATCATTGTAATTTCCACCGATGTATTGATAACCTGCATATACAGAACTTGTAGGATCATTTGCCGTCAGTAATAATTCAGGAAGAGCTCTCGGAGGTCTGATGTGTCCAATTTCGCTCCAACATCCTAACTTGGTGAGTTTGAGGTCGTTCCCGCGACAAGAGAGAGTTGGCGAACCCGT